CCATCTCAAAGCCTAACTTAAGGCAAAGATAAATACAAATGTTGTGAAGGCTTAACATGCTTACCCCCATCATTCCATACAATACAGGGCAAGCATCGCACACGTCGTACAACTGTTTTTCCTTCTTTTGATCAGTACCTTTTAGCTGCCTTTTTATTCAATGCTGTGTCCTATGTCCCAATGCTGATACTCAAGGTTTGAAAGTGACCCTTTACTTTGCCCACGCATTGGGTAAAGCTGAAGTTCCTTTATATGTGACCCTGTTACTTTGCCCTGCACATATAATTTAAAAGTAGACGATTAGGACTTTAATATATAAGAGAGAGTCACACAAAAACACAGAGAATAAATTATACGGCAGAGGGTCCAGGCAGTACATTACTACTCCCCTCATAAATACTCTGTGAGGTGAGATGGATGCAGTGAATTTCAAAGAACTTAGGGAACCTCAACAAGTAAAGCCTTGCTATTATATGGAATATTTGAAAAATGTTAAATGTGCCTAAGAAGTACCCTGAAAAATATAACTTTTTTCTTAAATTCTTCCTGAAAAATAGCCTTAGAGTTGTATATCCACAGTGTGAGATGTAAGGCACTGCCTCTAACTACTAGTCCCAGGAGATTTGGAGTGGAATTTGATGTCACTATTGTGCTACTTGCTGTTCCCCTTGCTAGAGGCTCTGATATGAAAAAGCCTCTACCAAGATGGCTGCCTCCACACAGACACAGTGCAGAACAAGGCATGATAAGTAAATGGGAAAGATCACTTGCAGAAGGATCACAGGCAATACTGGTGACAAGTCATTTGCCCTCTTCCTGTCTTTTTTGGGCACAGCTTACAGAGTTCAGTTCCACTTTAAAATGTAACTCCATATGGGTTCAGAAAATAAATAGCACCCTCAGGGTTATTAATGTACATTACAAGGATTTTAACAAACTATGATATAGATTCCTACCTTTTTCTGTTCAGACAAAATAGCTGTTTCACTATGTCCTTTTCCATATGGATTCCTGAATGGGAGGGTCTGGTTCATTATAACTGCCTGATGCACTTTCACCATTCTAATGAAGAAAGGTACACTGTCTGCATCCCTCTAGATGTACTTAACCCTTAGGGAGTATCTGACCAAAAATGAAAGTTCTTTTGCAGGGGATGTCTAAAAGTTTACCTGTTCCTTAGTGCAGATGTCTGAGGAAATCAGTAAATCAATTTTTCGGGGCAATCCATACACCAGTGTGGTACAGAACTCCTCCAGGCTGCCATATTGCATTTCATTTCTTAAACAGTTTTAGACTACAGCTGCTTCAGACTGAAACAGAAAGGTACTTCTTAATAACAAACTACAAAATGGCTTGTGTAGCAATTTTATATGCTATTAATTTAGCAAAAGTGGAGTTTTCCTTTAAGGTAAATTAATGAACATCCTGACTTAAGAATGTGCTGTGTGTTGGAACACATCATCAGCTGATCGATTATTTTCATTTGTTGCCTGGCACTGCACTTAAATACTTGGGAAAAGAGCATATTACATTTAAAGCAGACTTTCACTCAAAATAACAACTTTCCCCGATGTTATACCTCCCTCTCCATAGGGCCAGATAGCTCAATCCCCCCCGCCCCCCATTTGGGGTTATTTACTATATTTTAGTAATATATATATTTATACATATATATAACCCAAGTCTCCATTCTCCCCTAGGTAAAAATGCTGTCATGCTCCTGATGCCTCCTGGAATATAAATGTCACATACCCCAGGAGGCTTCAGCTTCTACTGGCATTGCAGTAGGACAAACCCAGCAACGGAGGACGGAGCCAGCTTGCATCAGAGGCTGGCTTCCTGAATCCAGCCAAGTGGCGGATCACAACAGAGCAAAGCTGAATTTGCAGTTTATGTTGTGAATGAATCGACATTTTAAAAAACAAAAAACTAGTCACTAAATATACCTAACTTTGGCAAGTAGACCCTAGCACTATAGTTGTCCTAGTATGCTACTGAACCATTAAATATAAAAAAAATCTTCAGGAGTGTACTCTAGGTTTAAAAAAAATTACTGACAACACTAAATTTATCTAGGCTCACTTTAAAGAGAATATGTAATTTGGACTATTAAAACCACTCACCATTACCTATGATTTCCTGTAACAGTCACTGCAAAAATCCAGCACTTCTGCATATGGAGGAGCATATGACATCTTCCCATAATACAGTGTCCGAGCTGAAGTGGCTGATCACTAGGACAAAAACACTATCACCTGACAAGGTGGAAGATGTCATCCACATGGGCAAGGTCCAACACAGAGCTTACACAAGATTAGGATGGAGGCCCAATGGAACAGCAGGTGATTATAGGGAAGGAGGGTATAAGTAGGTCAACGCAGGGGTTCTCCTTAGACCTAGAAAAAACCTGTATATACTGGATAAACACCAATGGCACAGCAGTTGCACAAAGGGAAGATATGCCAGTGGGTCAAGCTGAAAGTTTTCATTCTACAGATCTAAGAGACATTGGTGGGGAATGTCAAGATTCTTTGCTGTACAGATCCAAGAGAGAGGAGGGTAGTGCATGCTGGGACTTTCAGTTCTACAGAAATCTGTGTGACACAAGATAACAGTGCAAGTATGTAAGGGGTGCTAGTTACATGAAGATACTTTAAAATAATAAGGTATTAAATGCTTCTGTAGACAAACTCTAATGAAAATAAACTCTCTGAATTACAGTGCAGCTGGAGTCCAAGAGACTAGACATATATGCTTAATGTTATTATCTATATGCTGCTACCTCATCACTCTGTAATAATAACATGACATTTTCAAGATGCAGACAAGTTCAATCTAAATTAAGGGCATGTGTAAACGCTTACAATGAGCATCATCCAAAAACTAACTATTCACACAGGAACCAGATTGTTTACATGTAAATGGTCAGACACCAACATGATTCCCCAATTTCCCAAACACGTTGGAGTGCATGAACTGCACTTTGGGTGATCCCCCATTATTGCCTATCTGCAGTACACATTGGCATGCTTATTATAACCCAATCCAGCCAAAACATTTATTTTTTGGTTGGGGGTGTGAGTTTTAAAGCCATCTGTGTTCCTCATCTAGTAGAAATCTTGCCAACGGGCACACAGACAAAAACACATTTGTAAATGTTTTTTATGCTCTTGGTGCCTACCTGTACTGGTGATAACTGCACCCACCATTTTTTGTACAGGCATCATAAGGACATTAAGTGAAGGAAAATCTTCCCAATGGGGGCACAGACAGGCAAATTTCTATTACTGTCTTTGTCCTCACTGGGGAAATTCACTCTCTCTTTTTGTTTTTGTTACCACTGTCCCTAGAAATAAAAGTGAGAGAAAATCCAAAATCTTGAGTTGTCACTGGAACAGCACTGGAGGGGAAATCTTCCATTTGGGATAGTTGATTCCATGACAACTGTCTGAGTGGAGATTTCCTCTCACTTCTTGCATTTTATGGGACAGCAAGTGAAAGGGACAGACCCCAAAACAGGCAAAAACAAAAAAGAGAGAGTTTTAACCCTTCCCTACAATATCCAAAACTAAAAGAAAAAGTCTTGCTAATTGAATAAAAATGAAAATCCAGACGCTCACTCTTTCTCTTTTCTCTTTGCAATCAATCATACTAAAACGTACATGCACACATCACTTTTTACACATAAGTGTGTAAAGAAACTACCACCTTAAATATAGGCAAGACAGAGAACCTAACAGATTAAAATTGCTGATGAGAGCTGAGATTGCAAACACTGTGGGTAGGGTTCTTGTAATGCATCTAAATGGAGCAGTGCCACTGTAACATCTTCCAGATGATGAGTCACAATAATGGATCTTATGCAGCAACTGGAAACAGCACAACAGGTACATTCCTAAACGAGTAAAACCCCTTTTTCATGAGTGAGATAGGTTATACAGTTAGACAGTGGAGTAGGAATGCATACTACATTGTGCTGTATACATAGATGTTAACACTGCTCTGCTTTGCCCTTTAAGGCTGGCTTGCACAACTGTGAGGTCTGGCATGCTGGAATATCCATCTTATCAACAGTTGCAACATCAACTTTCTGACAGATCTATTGATGGAGAGTAGAAAGACTAACACAAACTTTGTAACTGCAAACTTTTTATTTTGAGCATATACATCCACTATCCTCACTCATGCAATTTCCATCACTGAGATCAGTCACTGCCTTCACCTGTGGCAACAAGCAAAACATCAACATTTTGTGCTGGGTGTAATGGAGACTGCAAGGGCCTGTACAAGCACATAAAAAAAGGTTCCATTGTTTTCATCAATGTGAATTCCTCCATATATGACTATGTACATTAGTCAGAAGAAAAGAGGAACAAAATGTAGCAGACCCCCCTTTAGGAAACCCCCTAAGGACTCAATATACTAAGTAGAGAAGTGATCAATAGCTCTCTTGGAAATGAGAAATGCAGTAAATCTCCTGGGTGCTGCACCGGTTGCTCTGGAGAGCATTACTTCTTATTGCACTCTTGTTGCATCCCTGAAACCACCAGCGAGTTCAAGCAAAGCTGTGTATAGCAGTTACATTCTATGACACGGTTTTTCCTTTGGGATGACTACAAATTTCAAAAACCTCCACAGAAGCATTCAAAATAAATAGAAATACTGGTAATACATTAAATCATTACAGAAACTAAAAGGAAGAAGGCATCACCGAAGCGACCCCATCACATGTTTGGTACTGCCTTTAAAATCAGAGGCAGTCCTGATAAATTCAGATGGATTCTGTAAAATTGTGTTTATCAATAACGAACATGGCAACATAGAAGAGAATGTTAATGAAAAGGATGAGATAGGGTTGAAAATATAAGCATGCATGCAAAAGCTACATAGCTCATCATACGCCAAACATTACCTGATGTGTGGTTTTTCAGTTCTGAGATTAAGCAATAAATAGGTTTAATGCAACAGGAAGATAAGGGAAAAAAATGTATTTTTCTTACCTGATTTACGCTTGGACGAGCCATAGTCCCTGAAAAAGAAACAGCAGCAGATAGACATTATTAGTGAGGCAGTATTGGGGGGCTGGTAAACAGAGGTGCCCCACCCATGCAGTGAAAAACTCCTTGTGTTCTCCTATCCTTAGTTACACTGAAGGCTCTGGCTGTAAGAACAGTGACAGAGGATGGATTGACAGGACCAGAGCAGCATCTCGGTACTACAAACAGCTGCTAGTGCTGCTGCAACCAACACTGGAAGCCACAAGACCATGTGATAAGATGACGAAGCAACCATCCCTAATTATACAGGGGGAGCTTTCCCTGCTTTTACAAGAGGCTTCAAAGAATGAACCTGTTTAGCATTTGTCAGTACGGATTCCCTTCTTAGGAGGCACCTGTATAGCTAGTGGTGGATTCTTTGCAATGCAGCCCAGCACGTAACACTGTATTATGACATGAAGATTCTGAAATATGAATGCTCTCTAAGAGGAATTTAGTATAAAGGTTCAGAAAGGATGTACTGTAGCTGCTCCATATAAAGAACAAGGGGAGGGCAAACTAAATATCTATGTCTGTAATGAAGGTCTTACATTATAAAGCAGTTACTGGCACTCCCACTATTGAGGATTTCAGTCCTACCAGTCTAAGAGAAATGCTAGAAGCAACAGTTCCTCTGAATCTGGAGAACACTGATCTAAAAGCTGCCTCAGAGTCATACCTGTGGCTGTCAGTCTTGCAATGCATCTTGGGAATTGTAGTTCCACAATAGCTAGTGTGCTCAGGTTGCCTACCCCTGATATAGTTTTTAGTAGACGCCAGCGAGCTGAAACAGCCTGGCCATACACCTATAGATTTTGAGCAAGCAACGGAATGTGTTCTTCCCAATCTATAGAGTCGACGTGTGACAGTTTCAATGTCACACGTCGAGTCTAACTATGAGGATGAGTGTAAATCACTCACCTCACAGTTCTCCTTTAAGGCTTCCTCTTCTGCAGCAGTGAAAGTGAAATGTATGGGGGTCAGAAAGCTCTGGCCACTTAAGCATTTGATATTTTAAAAAGGCAATTACACCCGCCGGACTCTACCCAAAATTGAAACACCCGTTGTGGAGAGACATAACTTTTATATGGGAAAGCTATAATGAACACAAAGGAAGAAGAACCAGTATTCTATAAAACGTAAGGCAAAGCTTATACATGTCCCTGGAATTTGCCTCTAAATAATGACAACAAGGTAAAAGCAATTAACCCCTTCATGACTGAGGCCCTTTTTTCCATTTTTGCACCCATGTTATATTCCACATTTTAGGCCTGAAAATGACGTAAAACCCCCCAACATTATATATTTTCTGAATGCCAAGACCCTATAGAATAAAATGGTGGTAGTTGAAAATTTTTATGTTGCGCAATATTAGCGCAACTCCTTATTAAACCCCAAAATTTAGTGACAAATTTAATTAAATGCCCCAAAACACAACAAATTACCCATTTTTTTAATGAAATATAAAAGATGAGGTTACATATCTAGAGCAGCACATCCCACAGTTGTCATCAAAATAATCCGATTTATTGAAAGTTCATACCATCCAAGTACACATTGAAATCACACCACACAGATCCTATAGCCTCTAAATAAGGTATAAGCAGTACTGCATGGCACAATGTTATCTCCGCTTTATCAGCAGAGTTCTAACAAGGCAATGTTCTCAAACCCTTCAAATGTCTGTGATGTTGATGACAGCCCCTGATGCTGACAGACACTTGCTCAGCTATGTCAAAAGAGCTTGTTTGTATATGGCCAGCCTTACTCTCTTATGCTACAACTTGAAGGGATTTGTCATAGGATTCAACCAGTGTCCTTGCAGGGGATGGGCAGTCTTCTTCCTGTAGGAAAAGACCCAGCATTACCTATATCTCGAATTCCATTAAGCCCCTGGAATGTTTCAGATACAACTTACACATACAGATTTTATTTCTGGCAAAAGAGATTGGACTCATCTGTAAAAACTCTGACCAGCAAAACACAACCCATATCACATACCAGAAAAAATGCCATCTTAGATCTAATTGTCACTAATAATGCAGAGTTAATCGAGGATATTGTAATTGGGGAGTCATTGGGTAATAGTGATCACAATGTGATTACTTTTAATAAGCCAATTGTATACTTCGGCAGGATCCCAACATTTCCACTGAAGTCATTACCACCACAAAGATGAACTTTTATAATACTGTGATACTTTCCACAACCTCAAGGAATGATATCCTCACCCTGCACCTCCAAGTAGGAAAATATTATCTAAAAAAACATCAATTGTGTCAAACTCACCTACATTTTCAGAACTCAAAACAAAGGAGGTTGCTAATCTATTCTTAGTATCTATTTAACATACAAAACAAAAGATCGTATGGAAGCTCAGTGCCAGCTTTGTTCACATTTCAGATCATTGAAATATAAAACAAACCCCTCGGAGTTCCAGCAACATCACAGAGGAGTCTTCTATCTCTCCTAACTGAGAAGGAATGTTTTTATATTGCAAGAAGGAGCAAGAGGCCAAGAAACACTCAGCTAGCTATAGGGCTAGGAAATAAATTTAATGTACAGTATGTCATGCGGAATGTTGCAAAACTTTTTTTTTTCCCTTCACTGCGCTAACAAAAGAAACTTTAGACAACAGATGTGTTATAACACACATACTGGTTCACAGCAGGTCTCTGTGCCTCATACAGACGTTACACCGAACTCAAAGCAGCCAGAAGCTTAGAACATAACCTCAGAATTATATTAAAACTTATGCTGAGATTGCAATTCCCCCTCCACCCCAGTCACTGTGCAACGTGCAAAACTTCAGTCATTTAATTCCTGGAAAGACACTGAATAACTCGCCCATCAAGATGCACATCTGTTTTAACTTTTGCTTTGTTGACAGTATTGGACTCTATGGACTATTCGCTGTCATAAGAGGAAAGCACATATATTACCAAACACTACTTGTTGTTCATGTTGCAATAAGAGAATAAGACTTGTATTCATGGAAAATTTTCTGCCATCATTTTTTATTTAAGCAAATAATAGTATTTATTCTGCTTTCACAGTCTTAGCATAAACTGCGTTGTTCCATATTTGGAGATGTTTGGTTGCTGCCATTTAGTTCTGAAACACAGGCCAATTATCTAAAGTGTGGTCATTGAAGACTCACGTCACAATGATTTAGCTGCCACTCCTGTCCATATTGCACTCATTGGGGAAGCACACTTGGATCTTAAAGTGTTATTACACACAAAATATAAATGCTCCATGCTCTTTTCAGTCTCTCTTATTCAGCGCAGGAACTATTTATTCTCATTGGAAACTCTGCTTCTGTTTTTGCAGTGCCTCCTATTATAGTGCTGTATGTATGGAGCCACGGCTAGACCCTGGGACTACACTGCTGTGTGTCCAGCCACTATGTGCGCCAACACGCACAGGCGGCACAGAGAGGCTGGATGTGAATGGCACCAGTGTAATCTGTGTGTAACCTGTGTAATTACAGCCTACCTGCTGTAACTGACGCTAGTAGTGAAGCACATCTGCAAATCACAAATATATATATATCATATTATGATTGTTACGTGTATGCAATACATTGTCAAAATATGGAAAACAAAAGTTTATTTTAAAAGCAAAAACAAAATAAAAAAAGATATTTGTGTAATAACTTTACAAAAGTAAAAAAACAAAACAACTTTTTAATGTAGTGATCAGGCAACAAAGTTTCTGCTGGTCTCTCTGCTCTCATATCACGCAGAGGACCAGCAGAAAGTCTGTTGTCTTTTGTGCATGCGCACAATAATCGGCATGATGGCAATCATTGGGAAGATAGAGGGTGCACGCTCCCCAAAGGGAGGTTAGGCGTAAGAGCTGCACCTGGAATAAGGAACTCTATGAATCCACACATATATTTCAAACAAAGACATTATTAAAGAGCTTATATGCATGTATAAGGGTATCTATTGCAGGGACAAGTCTATAATTTTGCCACTTTATAGATCATTGGTTCGAACTCATCTGGAGTATGCGGTCCAGTTCTGGTCACCAGTACTAAGAAAAGATGTCCTTGAGTTGGAAAAAGTCCAGCGGAGGGCAACCAAACTAATTAGGGGTATGGAGGACCAGAGCTACGAGACGAGGCTACTAAATTTAAACATGTTCACATTGGAGGTGAGGAGATTAAGGGGGGATATGATTTCCATGTACAAATTCAATGGTGGTAGCAACATTAGCGATAAACTATTTAAAATTAACTCCATTACAAAAACTAGAGGCCACCACCTAAAATTGGTGAGGAAAAAATTCCAGCACAAGGGGCGAAGGGGGTTCTTCACAGTTAGAGTGGTCAGGGTCTGGAACTCACTGCCACAGGCGGTGATTTCAGCAAAGAGTGTGGAATTGTTCAAGAAACTTTTGGACGATTTCCTAAGGGACCGTAATATACAGGGGTACAAGTAGTACTCCTACGAATGAGATCCTAATAGGTTGGACTTGATGGACTAATGTCTTTATTCAACCTCAAATACTATGTAACTATGTAACTATATACAGAACTTGTTTCGGGAAGAAGGGTTACTACTTCTTTCACAGTAAAAGAGTGATTAGTTCTCTAGCATAATCTGACATACTGTATCCCACAATGAATGGAGGTTATGGGGGAGGCAGAGGTAGAATGGACTGATTCATGCTTTGATGGCATTTCGCAACACACAATTTACTATATACAGCAAAATATCTACTCTCCCCGGACAGACACATTCCCTCTAACAATTTAAGATAAGCTGCTAAAATGTTTATATACACATATCTAAGAGGTACTCACAACTCTTTCAGATAAGCAACAGGTGGTAAACATATAGTAGATAACCCAGCAAAAAAAGGAAAGAGATAAAGAGATTCAGAACAAGGTCCCTTGCATTTGTTTTCAGACGAATTAAAGCATTGAAATTTAAAGTATATCTCTGAACAAAACTTTTTTTTTTTTTTTTAGTTTTGAACAGAG